TGTAACAATGAACTGTAAGAACGAAAGAATGATTTTTGGGTTGATGATTGAGATACGAAGGATTAAGAAACAAAGAAATTTTGGTACGTGTGGATCAGTCGAAGGTTGTGTTTGTGACTTTGAACGAAGGCATTATTGATGAAGTATACGAAGGGATTTTGGGTTTTGAACGAAGGGTGTGTATTGATTTTATAAGATGATGAAAATTCGAAGGGGGTATATTGCAAATTCGTACGAAGGAAGTTACTGTTAACTATTAACTCTTCGTATGCTTCGTATGCTTACACTTCGAATGAATTGAACAAATGGCACAAATTTTCGAAAACGGCCCCTAAACCTTCGAATTTTTTCACTTTGAAAATTAACACAAGTTTCGAATGTTTGACACTTTTCACCCAAGTTCGAAATTTTTTTTAGAGCTTTGAATATTTTGGCATGCTTCGTATAAATTGGGAACAAGTGCAGAATTTTCGAAAATGGTCCCTAAGACTTCGAATTTTTGGCAGTTTGTACACAAATTCGAAAAATGACTATTTTTTGCTAAAAATTGAAGATTGTGCATTTCAGGCCCCTGTAGTTTGTGCAAATTGATGCTTTTTACCCGGATTTGAAAAAGGGGGAGAGTTTTGCATATTTTGTTGTTTTGGGCGCAACAGGTCACTGCAAAATTTTGAAATGGACAATTTCCACCCATTTTTGAGGAATTTTGTCAAAGGCAATCCGTGAACGACAATAAAAACTGAATATTTTCTAGGTTTTCTAGATGTAAGCACAAAGTTTATGCCACATGTTAAGGGGGAGTTTTGACACGAAAAATTCCAAATAAAGCACGTTCTTTTTCCTTTGGAGTTTTATAATCAAATTTTGATTATAAAAAGGGGGAGAAGTTTTATATGGAAATTCGAACTAGAATTTTTCATATTTCGCGGATTTGAAGACCGATGTGATCTTGAAGTTTTGAAGCTTAAGAGATGATGCAATTGGAAGTTCAGAAGTGATGTATTTGAAATGGGTTTGGTTTCATTGAATATTTTTGAGGTGTGTTTTTATGCGCAACTTTTGGGTGATTATTTGGATTTTAGAATACTCTTGATCATTCATTGCTGCTCAGTTTGTATGGTCTCACATCCTAGAGCCCAAATTGAAGAGTCATGGAAGAATTGAAAATTGAAGTTTGTTTCAACATGTGTCACCTTTAAGGCTCGAACTGCGTAGTGCTTGATTTTGGAAGATTTGAAGTGGGTCATCCATTCCTAACTTTGAGGAGGAGAATGTTCGGTTGCAAAGTTTTTCATGTATGACTTTGTAATGGTTTGAATTATCTAGACCCACTTGCATGTGGTGCATTAGCCTTTTGTCTAATGAGTATTTTAGAGTGAGAGAGAGAGAGAGAGAGACATGTAAACACCTCTATATAAGGTGGGTTTGTCCACTTGTAGAGGTGTGCTTGAGAGATGTAATCATAGTGATTAGTGAGTGAGATATTTATGAAGCTCTAGACTAGATCCCTTTTTGTACTCATTTACTATGATCGAATATACCTTTTAGCACCCAAATCATCATGTTCAATTGTGCAAGCTTTAATTCTGCATGCCAAACCATGTTCTTTGTCACATCAGTAAGGAGGACGCAGTCCTTGCTGCTGGCTCCAATGGTGGATGTGGGTTCCCCAGACGAGAGTTGGTCCTTGAAATCCCATCCTGAAAAGAGGTCAAACGAATGGAGGTCGGATGACTGGCGGATTGATTACCTCAGGCTCTGAGGCTGAGCTATCTGAATCTTGCTCCTCCTCGTCTTCCATGGGTTCCTCCTCAAGGTCATCTTCAATCCATCCCCCATTACCTTGGTTGGGGTAGTAGGGGTCGCTGGGGTGATGGAATCCAACCATTGAGTCTATATGAGAATAGGGTTAAGAATTGACTATAAGCTAAAGCATGTAAAAATTTACACTTTTGTTTGACGGTTGAAGATACCCAAATACTCCCATAGTATTCTTAATGATATGCTCTTGGTAAGTTTTAAATTTGTTGTCCACTGTAGACACTCCCTGGCATACGTTAGTCGGCTCTCGGACAATTATAGTTGATCAGGCTATATTCATCCCAGTTCCGATACCTTCACTGCACAATTTATTTATAATACTTCTATATTGATCTATTTATGACACTGTTATTAATATGAAATGAATGCATGCTTACTTTACAACAAAATTAAATAAATTTTATTTTAAAAGTATAACTCTTACTTAGAGTGTTTTTTCCCAGTTGTGTTTATAGTGGTATACCAAAAATGGTTTTGAGATACTTAATAAACTATAAACAAAGCTCTGATACCAAATCTATCACACCCCCAAACAAAGATGGCGAAAACGTTCGGGGGCGGAGGATGTCATATTCAGTATCATAATAGTTCATAGTAAGGAAAGTACACACCACCATATATATAAAGATTTCAAAATGTTTACATAATTGTATTTGTTACATGTTCAAAAGATAAATACATAAACATTTTTCAAAAGAAGTAATTAACGTCAGAGCGTTAATCCCCAAAAGTTGGTTTCCAAACCTGCTTAGCGGTTCCCTGAGAATACAAGTTATTTCAAAGAAAAAATGTCAACAATTAAGTTGGTGAGTTCATAAGCGGTTTTGAGAAAATGTATGCCATTCCAAAGTTCACGCGTTTTTCCAAGAAAATCCCTTATTTTCTTATAAAAGTATGAAATGCATATGAATGTTCGTGTTGTGAATTGTAAATAGTTGCACCAAGAAAATCAATTATTTTCCTATTACTTGATTGTTTTGGATACAGGAAAATCCTTATTTTCCTAAAGTAAAAGTCAATCTCTGATGTTCAAAACCGAAAATCGCAAGCACCTGACATGCTTAAAGGTTGACGCAGAGTTTTATATACTAAAGCTATAAGAAGATCGCACTTGTTAGATGAAGAATAGTTTTAATAGCTACTCGCTCATAAAAAATCAGAATATCATAATAATTATCTATCCGGTGAGTTTTATAACCATACTAAACATAATATGCCTGTGGCGACGGTCTTCAGGCGTCGAAACTTTTATGACAAACTGTCACCCAAAGGACTGTAGCTAACAGTCAGGGCGCGAGATCATGAATTCCCATATAGATCTATACACATTTGACACGCTCTCCAAACGGGAGACTCTGGTTATAATAGACAGGACTTTAGGTAGTACCTTTTAACTAAAAGGTAGCATTGAAGATATAATCGTCTCACGGATTTTCAACTAAGTCTGTATTAAAGTGATAGTTTTGTATACAATGTTTAACTTCTTTCACAATGTTTGACAAAGCATAAGTCATAAGTTCTTTGAATGCATAAAAAGGTTTAACAAGAATGGCTACCTTGGATACTATGCATTTTGTATAAATCTAATGCATGCAAGGTATAACAAGAGTTTAGTCATAAGTTCTTTGAATGCATAAAAAGCTTTAACAAGAATGGCTACCTTGGATACTATGCATTTTGTATAAATCTAATGCATGCAAGGTATAACAAGAGTTTTCACGTTTTTACTCCGGATTAATCGGGTGTTTACTTGTATTCTCCCCAAAATGTATTAAAAGTACATTATAAAGTATTTAAAGATGTATAAAAGGGTTATGAACGTACTTGATTGAAGTGGTTGTTTTGAAGTAATCGAGAGAAGAATTGAGCAGAACTTCGACTAGAGAAAACAGGTTTCTCGGGATTCTCGGGAATCTCGGGAGCATGAAACTTCCTTTGGGTTTTGGATATGAAAATCGGGGTTTCGGGAAATTGCTTGCATGAAAAATGGAGCAAAAACGCAGGAGAAAGAGACGAATTGAGCAAATTTGCCCGGAACCCTCACACCCCTTTTATAGGAGGCTGAACCACCTCGGTACGCTGGGCGTACGGGGTTACGCGGGGCGTACTCGTGCGTCACTGCTTACCACATCCTCGGAGGAAGCATATGATGGAAGGGCATAGAGGCGTAGGGGCAACGTGAATAATCCGATGCCTAGCACCTGAGTACGTTGGGCGTAACTCGGATTAATCCGGTGACTCCTCCTTCAGATAATACCGGGTTTTTTAAATTAAATTTTATATTTTAATTATTTAATAAACTTCAAAAATTCACATCTTTCTCATACGAACTCCGTTTTCGACGTTCTTTATATCCACGCGTAGGTGAGACTACGCTCTACAACTTTCGTTTAGATTCCGTCGGCTAATTTTGAAATTATTTGTATTATTTATTTTTAAAAGACCGGGGCAGGAAAAGTCCGTTAAAAATCAATAACTTCTTCATCCGATGTCCATTTTTGTCAGACTTTTTACTGTTGCAATATCATCGATGAGATCTTCGATTCTCGTTTAGGTTATGTTGGCAAAAAGTTGCTCGATCTCTATTTCGAGTTTTAATTGTCTACTGCCACGTCCGAAACTTCCAAAAATCATAACTTCCTCATATAGAGTCAGATTTGGGCGTTCTTTTTATGTATGTTCACGGTTTTTGGATATCTATGACTTTCATTTCGACACCTAAGGTTGAAAAGTATCTTATTGAAATTTCTCGTTTTATGCTTAACAGTGTTTTACCGGTATTGTTACGAATATTTGATTAGTCATAATTCCTTCGTTATAACTTGGATTTTTGTGTTCTTTATATTTTTGGAAACCTTCTTTGTGAACATTTTCATTTCCGATGATATTCTTATTACTTCACAAAGAGATTACAAGACTTGAATTTTAGACATTACATTGACCTGAAATAACGGGTTGTTACAATTTACATTTCCATTAATCTCTCAGTGTAATATATCTTCGCATCGATACCTGTGATACAAATAAACTGAGTATGTCAGGTTGAAAAACCTGATGAGTACATAGGTTTTTCAACCCACAATAATATAGTTAATTTGTTTCTTCACATGCTTCATGTGAAACAATTAACGCGATTATCCACCCCATTATCTTTATTTATTCTTCCCTAATGATTTACCCTAACCATCATCTCCTACATCGTATATACCTCTCGTCACCTCACATCGCATTTCATTATATTTTTGTTCCTAAGAATTTTTCCTAACTGTTATCGCCTGCATCGCATAGATAATATTCATTTGAGTACTACTCCCCCAACCCCAATACATGTCCAGTAAGTCTAATAAAAGTATTCCAACATATTCTAATAAAAGTATTCCAACATCCTCTCAATATCAGTTCGTTCTCGTATTTCATATAGTCAAATACAAACGCTTTCCTGAGCATTCACGCATGACGAACTGCTGCTGATCTTCATCAACTCGTAAGTATATCAGAACGTTTATTCTTTCTACATTGTTATTGAATTCGACAATAATTAAATGTCTTTAGATACTTTTCTTATCCACCCTAGATGTGAACCACATGGGTGTCGTATTCATAAATCTATAAAATTTGAGTTATCTGACCATTTTCTTCACTAATTTTCTCCGTTTAATTCCCCAATTTCCTGTTAAAACCTTCGATTTGAAACGTTTCTCACACATCAATAACGATTCTGCCTTTTATTCAATCTCAAGTCTCGATGCCTCGTTTTAGCCCTAATTTTTCTCATTTTTGGTTTTTCTTTCGTGGGTATAGTTTCTTGTGGCAATAGCGATTGAATCTATTTCAAGGATTATCAAGAGCTCACGTATCCAAACAATTGTTTAGTTTTGGAAACACCCAGTCTGAATTCTCTGATTAATCGGTAGAAAGCTAGAAGGAGATTACTCATTTTTGGTGTATGCAATGGATCAATTTGATAACCTCTACAAGGAGCGCATTTCTGCACTTCTTAGAGTAATGTATGCCACTAAATATGTTAAAGATGATAATGTTCCAGCTCTTATTGAAGAGGTAAATAATGTGCTTCTTTTTCTCCATTAAAGTGCTATAACATAACATTTAGACACTCAATGAAATAGAAAGAAAAAAATATAAATAGGGGATAATCTATAGAATGCCTAATTGAGTAATTTCCCTGCTTTTTTTTGCTTTTAAAATTTAGGGTCTCTATTTGGGTTCTATTGGAGCTGCTAATAACAAGAGCCTTTTGAAAAGCTCGAATGTTACACACATTTTAACTGTTGCCAATTCACTACCTCCTACATACCCTAATGATTTCACCTACAAAATTGTTGATGGTATGATAGGAACTCACTCTCGATTTCATGTATGTGCAAAAGACGTAAATACCCTTCTCATTCTCATCATAAAAATAGCCCTAGAAAGTCTGTCGTTATCCATCTAGTGTCACAAACAACTTTTTAGGACTATTTTCAATGATGTTGATGGGAAGGGTATTTATGTCATTACTAAAAAAATAAAATTTGGTTTACTCTTTTGGTATATGTAGTAATGGTGTAAAATATTTGTGTTCTTGATTTAGTTCCCGATAGAGAACATGTAAATATTGCAGAGTTCTTCGATGAGTGTTTTAGTTTCATTGAAGAAGCTAAAAGAACAGGTGGCGTATTAGTCCATTGCTTTGTGGGAAGATCCAGAAGGTGATTTTTAACATTCTAATTTTTTTTTTTTTTTTTTTTTTTTTTTAATTATTCATCTGCCAATATATGTGATAAAGATTCAATATGGTAGAATTGATTTATTTATAAAAATGTGATTGCTCATTAGTGTAATTACCATTGCAAGGCAAATATTTTTTGTCAAAGTTACATAAATGGTCCCTGTGCTTTATATATAAAATGATTGCTATACCCTTTATTTATTTTATCATTTATTTTCTTAATTACAATTTATAATAATATTAAATTACAAAGGACCCCACCATACCCTCCCGTTTCTCTCCACCATCACCCGCAACACTTACGTATGCTTCATACTTTGGGCACAAGATTTTAATATATTGACAGATTTGGTCCCTAGACTTTTTGGGTTTCAGAATTTGGCCACAAAGACTTTCGTATATCGATAGGTTTGGTTTCTAGACATTAATATATTAGCAGGTTTGGGTACTGACTTTTTGGGTTTCAAACATTGGCCACAAGACTTTTGTATATTGGCAGGTTTGGTCCATAAACATTCATATGTTGGCAGGTTTTGTCTCTCGCAAAACAGGGTTAATATTTAATCTTACCATAAATTGTATTTAAACAAAAAAAAAATGATAAATAAAATAAAAATGATAATAATTTAACGACTGGTATATTTTTTTTGACCTAGTGTTACTATTGTTGTGGCATATCTGATGAAAAAACATGGCATGAGTGTATCCGAAGCTTTACAACGTGTGAAAAGTAAACGAAGTGTGGCTTCTCCAAACTCTGGATTTATGTCACAGTTGCACAACTATGAGAAATCTCTTCGAGGTAAATGTTAATTTTGTAAATATGTAGAAAACACAAGGACCTTTTGGTCATTTTAGCTACGACTTTCTAGTTTCTACTAATTGAGCTAATGGTGGTTTGTAATATACAGGAGTTTAAGTGTTAAGGTGAAAATGTGATACGACAAGTTCATACGTGTATTTCCATAGTGGAAAAAATAGGTACAAATTTGATCTTTATTTCTGTTAATATTATCAAATGAAGATTAGCGTACATATTTTACATTAATAATACTATAAGGGGCGAAAGTAAACATTCTTTCAAATTTGAAAACAATATTAACCCTTGAAAAAGGTAAAATTTGTAAAAGCTTTCGCTTTTGTGTATTGTGTAATTTGCAAACAGATTGAAGTAATTTGTCATGATTTATTCCAAATTGTAAATGTTGTGTGGATGTATTTGTATTAGTGATTTTGTTTAGAAAAAATTGTTTGAACCTTTTTTATTGGAATTAAAATGCATAGTATACAAGTAATAATACAAAATGTACATGTCTGAAGCTATTATAATTAACTATTATATTTAAAATGCTCTAATGCATTTGTACATGTATTTTAAAGTTTTTACAAATAATATCAAACACATTTAAAAATAAAAAAAAAATCTCAACCCTATCCTCCTTTACCACCACCACAATCACCTTCTAGTCATCAAACTAAAAAAATACAGTTTAAGTCGAATCAAAGATGAAAACTAATTTTACCAAATCATGAACAAACATGTGATCAACACCCATTTCAAGAAAGTTTAAAATCTATATTTACCTAAAGTGATTGGAATTGAATTGCAAGAATTAATAGTTCTTATTTCGTAGTAGTGATGGTTATGATAAATTTGATTAGTAAGTATGACCTACAATGAAACAAATCAAAATATGCTTATAAAGTTTTTATTTACATTCCACAAGCAATATAGTAATTCTTTACAAACTAACATGTATTGTCCATATTGGACCTAACGAATGGTATCAAAGTAGCTAATCAAACTCCTAAACTCATTGATTCGATCAGTTATGGCTTCGGCATGTTTCACTTCCAAGTCCCAACAATGGTTTAATGGGTAAAGCCCTACTCATTAATTAGGGTGTCTCCATGTGGAAAAGTTGTATGACTGCCTTATTGAACTCCATAGGCCCCAATTTGCTTGACCCATTTATGAGGGCTGTTGTACTCTTTAAGTTAGAGATGCATATTCGTGGCCTTAAACCGGTCTTTAGTCTGTCTTGAAACGGTCTAGCCTTTTGTGGTCAGTCTTGGAGGTCTGGTCTTCTTTCGGAACCGTCTCATGGTCTTTCCTTGTGTGTTTTTCAGTTCGTTTTTTTTTTTTTTTTTTTTTTTTTTTTTTTTTTTTTTTTAATTTCACGTTTTTCCATTAACAAAGATGTGATTAGCACAAAAATGGAGAATTAAGATTTATTAAAGATGATACACTTCAGTTTAATAAAAGAAAAAAAAATGAAAAAAAGTTAGATAATGTGATTAAAATTTATCTAATTTAACAAAAGATGATGTTTATAAACTTTGGCTACTATTTTTAAACATGTCTCGGGTCGGTGTCGAACGGTATTGGTTTGGAACAGTCTAATATATATTGGAACCGGTCTCAGAACGGCCTAGCTTGTTTTTCGGCCAGGTCTCGTTTTAAACAAGTTCAGTCTCGGTCTTTTTATGGGACTAGTATGCAACCGGTATTTTTATGGATGTCTATCTTAAGTTCTTAGTCCTGGGCCTAGCAGACATGCCACCTTATGTCCCTATTGATCATAGGCCCTCGAGTGATGCAAAGTTACACATAAACAAAAAGGCTCAAAAAAAATGACACATATAATAGTATACGAGATATTCACGAAAATGATCACTTTTGGTTGATACGTATCAGAAGACAACTATAATTTTCAGGAAGAACCAAAATTAACTTGGAGCTCTACATATATAAGAAAATTGTTACTCCATAGCCAACTTTTACTCTAGCTTAGGGCACTTTTATATATATATATATATATATATATATATATATATATATATATATATATATATATATATATATATATATATATATATATTAGTGGGGTTAATGAGATATCATTCTACCTGGTATCAAAGTTTTGAATGCTTTTCCTTCGTTAGGTTTTTCCTAAAACCCATTTTCTCTCATTGCACTACAAGAAACGGGACCTATAGGTACGACAAATGTCGTCTCTATAGGTGAAAAAAATCATCCCTATAGGTGTCAGGGACGACATGTCGTCACTATAGCTCTCGTCACCATAGCCCCGTCGCAATAGATCTTTTTGGTCGTCACTATAAATATCGTCGCAATAAGTATCCTTTAGAGACAACATGGTGTCTTGTTCTGGTCCGTCGCTATACGGTGCTGGTCTCCATAGATGAAGCTATAGAGACGACATGCCATCTCTACAGGTGTATCTATAAAGACAACATATCGCCTCCATAAATAAAGATGTAGACTCGATCCGTCTAACCTTTACCAATAGCATGTCGTTGTGGTATATGCATCTATAGAGACGACATGTCGTCTCTATAGATCTACCTATAGAAACAACATGTCGTCTCTATAGGTATGCCCATACAACTGCTCTTTTTTTCTCTATGCTTTCCCATTTTCACATCACAAAATTGCTAAAGCAGTAAATTTACAACATAGCTAATATAGTAAATTTAATTGCAAAACATTAAAATTCCATACAATCTCAAAACACTACATTATTGCAAATATAATTCATATGAAGAACAAAATTATTAACTTGACGAAATTTTCATAATCATCACACGCCTTATCATTTGTGTACATAACACTACATTCTACATGGTTTAAAAAAACACCATCAACAATGGATAACTTCTCATCATACTGTGTCCTTCTTTGCTCCCTAAAGCTTCTTGCACTCTTCCCACTTTCATTATCTGAAACATCATCGTGAATTCAATTTTAATCGTTTTTTTTTTTTTTGAAAAAAAATGAAAAGGATGAAGGAACTAGGAAGAAGGAACCTTGATCTTGATCCATGGCATCCAGAATGCAAAGTTACTGTGTTGCTACTAGAAGATGTCATCTAATTGAGTGTTGAACAGATTGCTTAAGTACTGAATTAAGCTAAAACAGATTGCTTAAGTACTGAATTAAGCTAAAACAGCTACCAATGTGCATCTGAGAAATTACATGTAAAGTTTAAAAAAAGAACATGGACAAGATTTTCTATTTTTAATTAAAAGGAACAAAAGAACTTGCATACCTTGGTTGTCTACCTGTATTGGAGTTGCATCATTTTGAGAGGTATGATCCTTTGAGGCTCCAAAAACAAATTCCATATAAACAGAATTTGGAACTGAAGAACTTGATGACATATTTCCATTAACAGAAGGTCTACTTGCATTTGACCTTTTTAATAAATATACCAACCTGTTCAAGGTAATACTTTTCACTTGACCAACTGATAGGTGGCATTTCTAATGGTTGGAATCCGTATTTCCTGCTAAATCTCTTTGGCAACCTTTTAACAATCTGGACTTCATCTCTTAGTGATTCAATGAAATGGCCCCACATCAAAAATGTCCTCAAAATCACTGAATCAATCAAACATCATAACTTGTAAGTCATAGTTTCCAAAAACATCAAATTTACTAAAATGCCCCTGGAACTACCTAGAATCAGCCCAGAAAGATGTATTATCAAGCTCTGGAACAACCAGAGTGAGATTTAAAAGACGTGCAACTATCAAAATGTAACATATCTGAAATTGATAAGCTGATTTTAAAAATAAATAAGTGGTGTTTAAGAATAAAATATACATGAAAGAGGAAAAGAAGAAACACAAACCGCAACTCTCATTTGATTTAAGCCTCCATTACATGAAACTTTAAGAAACCTGTTGCTTATGTAATTCCCTGCATAACAGAAAAAGAGTGGAATCCAAATGCAAATGATTATCATTAGATAAAACCCTTATAATCATTGGTAATTAAAGCAAACTCTAATAGCATAAAGTAAGTAATCTGTGAATCAAAATCAACATCATTAACAAGTTACCAAAATGGGAACAATTAAACTCTAATCGTGGTTTTACCACATGAAAAATGTTTATCATCAACTAAACTTTTGCCTCTTGGATACTTAGTGACTTCATTAACAAGTCTTTGCCTTGCTGCATCCAGCTCCTCAATCAGCCTAAAATGCGATCAGGAGTTATTAGATTGATTATGTTAATAAAAGTAGAAATTAATGGAACAGAACATAAAAGTGAGAATGAAATGTCAAGAAATGGGAATTCAGTGTTTAATAAATAAATAATATTTATTACAAGAACTTTGTTTTGTCTCTTTTCCCATTGACTATTTGTCTGCCAAAACAAACAGAACCATCATAAAGATGAAAGCATTGACCATGGAGATGAAAGCATTGACTACTTGTCTGCCAAAGCCAAGTATTGTAACCACTTTCGAAAATAATAAAATTTATCTTTGAAAATAAATTGTACAAAAAGTCTCTATTTTAGTTACCTACCATGTTAGATATCATTAAACCGTGACCGTAGATAAAAAGAACGTCCAAATCTGACTTCGTATGAGGAAGTTATGATTTTTCCAAGTTCGGTATAGCGGTAGACAGCTAAAAACTCGAAACAGAGATCGAGCGACTTTTGGCCGGAATGACCTAAATGAGAGTCGAAGGTCTCAACAATGGTATTTCAACGGTAAAAATTCTGGCAAAAACAGACACCGGATAAATGAGTTATGGATTTCTAACGAATTTTTCTTACCCCGACCTTTTAAAAACAAATAATGAAAATAATTTCAAAATTTGCCAACGGAGTCTAAACGAAAGTTGTAGATCGTAGTCTCACCTATGCGTGGATATAAAGAACGTCGAATACAAAGTTCGTATGAAGAAGATATGAATTTTAGAAGTTTACTAAATAATAAAAATATAAATTTAAAACAAAATTCGGTATTATACGAAGGGAGAGTCACCGGCCCAATCCAACTTAAGCCCGGCGTAACAGCGTACGCCCAGCGTATGCGAGGACTAGGCCTCGGATCGTCCACGTCGCCCCCTATGCTAGACTATGCCCCGTCCCATCCGAGCTCCGACGCAGTTGAGGATGCGGTAATGCTGATGCATGCGTACGCCCAGCATATCGAGGCGGTTCCCAGCCCCTATAAAAGGGATGCGAGGTTCCGGGGAAATTATATCTTTTCTCTAATCTTTCTTGCGTTTTTGCCTTGTTTTCCATGCACGTGCTATCCCGAAGCCCCGGTGTCTATACTCAAGTCCCGAAGGTCGTTTGTGCTCCCGAGATTCCCGAGAATCCCGAGAAAATCCGCTTTCTCGAGTCAAAGTTCTGCTCGCTTTTCATCTCGATTTCTTCGATCTTTCAAGTGAGTTCATACCCCTATAAACTACGTTTTTAATTGTTTTATAAATGCTTTTTATACAATATTAAGGGGGGAAATGCAAGTAAAACACGCGATTGTAACTTAATGATTCACTATATAAACTTTTCATTTAAGTAATCATATGTGATTCATAAACTACTACATGAGTATTTTTGTATGAAATATACTCTTTCAAAGACACCTTGTCTCGTGGAAATAAAACGTGTTTATATGTATGTATATATATATATATATATATATATATATATATATATATATATATACAAATCAAGTGCTCCACTTTACATTAGGTATATGTGAGCAGTTAAGTCACTTTACATGTTATACTTTACATAAAGAGTGAGCATTACACTAGGGTTTACTATATGAATGAAACACACTTTGAAAAACTATAATAGGTATAGTTTACGAGGAAATCATGAATATTTACATACTAGGTACACTACATCAAAGAAGATATTTTCATATACAAGAACAAATGGACATTTTCATACGTAAATTTGTTTTTACTAAATTTTGTGAGACATTTCACGTACTTTTAAGTATGCATTTTAAGTCTTGTATTATATATACCATAATCCTTTGTCAGGTGAGCATGATCCTTGTGTATAGATCTATATGGGATTGCCAATCCCATACCTAAGCTATTAGCTACAGCTAGGCCGACATGCCTGGGGTAACAAACGTCATAACTTTCCAACGCTTGAAGAATGTAGATATAGGCATGCTGGTCAAATAGCATGGTTATAAGACTCACATGGAGTATTAAAAACACATTGATTTACGGGATTTTTCAAATACCTTAACAATTGACACATAAAACTACTATTTTAGGCATGAAAAGCACTATTGCATTACAGGAACCAATCAAACAATCATCTACTATGTAAAAAATATGGGATTTTCTTGAAACATTTAACGTGAACAAAACATTTTCATTCTTTTTCATATAAACATTGTCACTAAATACTTATAAACTCGCTAGCTTAAATGCTGACCTACTCTTTCAAAACCACTTTTATTTATCAGGGATTCAGTAATACAGGTAAACTGCAACTTTTAAAGAAGGGACGCTGCGGCGTTAGTTTAATATCATTTTAAGCATCATGTTGTAATTTCTTTTGGAACAAGTACCATTTTAACAATGTAAACTTTTAAATTATATATGTGATGTTTGTATTGCTTTATTTACTATGTATTCAATTGTTACGATACTACATGAAGTCATCTACCCTCGAACGATTCGGCCGTTCTAATTTGGAGGTGTGACATGAATATACCTTCATGAACACAATTCGACCGTAGCAACTCGACGGTAACTCAACCCCTCCTTTCAATTTTAATTGGTATTTACGTAACAAAGATTTTGAATCTTATAGAATTTCTTCTGGATTTTTATTTTGATTTTATTGTTTTTAGGGCTTCTTTTGTTTCTATTTTGGATGCTAGCTGATTATAAATAAATGAAACCCGATTATTTTTGAATTATGGGTTTTGCAAGCTCCTTATCTTTCCTATTAGCTCGTATCTAGTAAATGTTTTTTTTTTATCTACCCAATTTTGGTTTCAATGAATTCGTTGTATGGGTCATTGACTGCCTACTATTATTGTCTATGCACTTGATGTATCCATTTTTAAAATTCACATATATATATATATAATATATATATTATATATATAATATATATATATTAATTTGGTAATTCTATGGGACCCAACCCCCCCCCCCCCCCCCCCCTATTGTTTTGTGTACCCTTCATGAGTGTAATAATGTATGTGTACACCCATGAATTGAAAATTTATATGAATGCAAGGACACGTATAGTAGCTCACATATTAGTTATGCTTATTTTTTGTTAACAAATTGTTTGATGTTTCAATCTACAAAACCAGATTGAATTTTGAACCCAAATTATATGATACTCGAATTATTTGAACCCATGGTTTACCCATAGCCCAAAAACTGATTTCTTAAGGCCAAATAACACAAAAACCGAAATCCACCCGAATAACACTTTTATTGTAGAATATCAAATAACACAAAAACCGAAATCCACCCGAATAACACTTTTATTGTAGAATATGCAGGTCTACATATAAACTACTTAAACTGTGGACCTATGGAGCATGGGCACCATTTAAAAAACATCTCATACGGTTAGGCTACAAGTCATTTGGTGGATAGAAAGACTTGATCAAGAATGAAATAAAAAAACATCCTTTAGCCTAGAACTAAAAGTCGGGAGATTAAATGATCTAGTTCGCGACAGTAAAGTCTTAAATTTTGACTTTTTTTAAGTAAAAAGTATACCAACCAAAGATTAGCCCTTTTTAGTTATCTAATTGTAATTCTGTTCTTGCATATTGAATTTTTGTAAATTCATAAGATTTTCAGTCGACAGAAATATCACTTTTTAACTTTTTTTTAGGGAAGCCATGATACTATTTTACCACATTCATACAAAAGAAAGTTATTTAACCGAAAGTAACTCACAAAAAAAAAATATATATTTTTTAAATAAATGGGTGGAGTGAAATTGGCCCGTTAACCCTTGAAATGGGCCCTCGTGTATTTGACATGTTTCCAAAACCCTTCACGGGCACAACATGAGATCGTCGTTGTCGTCTACACTGTTTTGTCAGGTATGCAATTATATGCTCATAAAAGTTGACGCCATTAAGTATCATATAATATATATGTATGTTATTATGTTTTTTATACAACCATGACGTTCTATTTTTCAGAATAGCTTTGAAAAATTTAAGCTATTTTAAGCACCAAATGTATGTCATCCTTAAATAGTTGCAAAAAAAAATTCACTGTAAAAGTAAATGAATTCTGTAGACAGCAAACATTCAGTGATCGGTTCTGGAAACCCGGGCGACCGCCTATGGACCACATCTTTACGGGCCCAAAAATTCTAGGCTATGCAGTTTATATATATATATATATATATATATATATATATATATATATATATATATATATATATATATATATATTACCTAAATGATTTTTAGAGCATAAAATTATTCAAACTCAAACTATTTCAAAAGATAAACAATTTTACTTGTTTGTTATTGCTAATTGAACTCGTATATAATAAAAAATAAATAATATTATATTGAATCTTTATTATATTTGTCTTTAAAAATTATTCATATTATCATATACACATTAATACACGTTTAAATTACTGGACATTTGTATTCTAGTGATTATGGGATTTTTCGATATATATAATAAACATGAAAAGACCTTTGATTTTAAAAAAATTATCTTTGAGCTAGTAATTCTTCAATAAAATATAAAATCTACATTAACATCTCGTAAATGAAATGTTTCTTGTTTTGCTTACACCACTTTGAAATGATAAACCACTTGAATGATGTTGACAAGCCATTGCATGAAATTGTGATGCTTTCAAAGAAGAAAAGAAGAAGAAATAAGGGAACTTAACAAAGATCTACTAAAGGGTTCAACTTAACCCAAATATTTGTTAACTAGGATCATATATGGAAGTCTTATTAGTTTTTTTATCTATTCAACAATTAAGAAACATAAAACATCTAAAACAAATCAGATGACTAATTGTATTTGCAAAAGTTGTAAACTTAATGACTTAGTTGACAAAAAAGAAATACAATGTTAAAATCAAAATTTTGTTAGAACTTAATGTATTTTAAGGAATTTGCCGTATAATTTAATCTGCAACAATAATTAACTCTCTCTATATATAGGTTACTAACGTTCTGTAGTATCATTTGAACGATTCCAATATTTGTGAATTTATAACGCTTTAACAGTATTCGATAAAGTGTTGTATTCTTTACCCTTGCTGGGTTCATTCCTTGTAATTGAATAATATACAAATATGATATTTAAACTGACGACACTAGTGCAGATGGTTATCCACAAGAAAGTAACAATGATCAAGATCAGTTCCGAAACAAGCAAAATATTGTTGCTAAATGTTAAGAGAAAAGACTAGTAACAATTCATGGTTCCTAAATTAATTATATATGAAAATAACTTTTTGTTTTCTTAAATCCATTTCTAAAAAGAACATTTTGTTAAATGGATTCAAAACTTGGAACAAAACAATTATG